TCCCACTTCCTAATATATCTAAACCCCTCCTCCGTACACCATCGTCTCAGCCACACATTGAGACCCTACAGTTCTGCCTGTCTAACTGGCCCTACGCATGGAACTGGAAGCATTTCAAAGAATGCTACCATGCAGATCCTGGACTTCAATCTCTTACCTAGCAGCCTAAATTTGGCCTCCAGGATCTCTCTCCTATCCTTCCCTATGTCAGTGGTACCAACATGTGCCATGACCACCGGCTCCTCCCCAGCACTACACATAAGTCTATCTAGATGTCTTAAGAGATCTGCAGCCTTCGCACCAGGCAGGCAAGTCACCAAGCAGTTCTCCCAGTCTTTGCAAACTTAGCTGTCTATGTTTCTAATGCTCGAATCTCCCATAACTATTACCTGTCTCTTCCTGATAACTGGAATTCCCTCCCCCAGAGAGGTATCCTCAGTGTGAAAGGATAACACAAGATAATCTGGAAGGAGGGTGCCAACTATGGGATCATTTCCCTCTGCTCCAGTTGGATGCTCTACTTCCCTGAGACTTTCATCCTCCTCAACAGCACAGAGGGTGTCAGACTGTGTCCCGGAAAGTCTCATCTGTGTACCTCTCTGTCTCCCTTAGCTCCTCCAGCTCAGCCACTCTGGTCTCCAAAGCCCGTACACGGTCTCTGAGGGCCAGGAGCTCCTTGCATCAAATGCATACATACACCACCTGCCCATAGGGCAGGTAATCATACATACTGCATTGGGTGCAATAAACTAGATAGCTCCCTCTCTGTTGCTGGACTTCTGCCTGCATTATCTTTTTACTCCTGAAGTTCGTTCCTTTGTTGTTGTTTTGTTTTTATCAGGGGGTGTCTGGCTTTAAGTTTACAGAATGTTAAGTGTATTTAGCCCCCTGGCTCACACTTCCTTGCAAAACTTCCGTTAGCTGCTCCTGTTCACTAGCTCCTCTGGTCGCTGAGAAGTGGGCTTTTTAAAGCCCTGGTCCTCCTGAGTAGTCCCTGTGATGTTGCACAGCTTCATATGACGTTGCACACACTCAGCAAGTTCACAGATGACACTAAGCTGGGGGAGAGGTAGATACACTGGAGGTTAGGGACAGGGTCCAAAGTGACCTAGACAAATTGGAGGATTGGGCCAAAAGAAATCTGATGAGATTCAACAAGGACAAGTGCAGAGTCCTGCACTTAGGATGGAAGAATCCCATGCACTGCTACAGGCTGGGGACCGACTGGCTAAGCAGCAGTTCTGCAGAAAAGAACCTGGGGATTACAGTGCATGAGAAGCTGGATATGAGTCAGCAGTGTGTCCTTGTTGCCAAGAAGGCCAATGGCATATTGGGCTGTATTAGTAGGAGCATTGCAAGCAGATAGAGGGAAGTGATTATTCCCCTCTATTTGGCACTGGTGAGGCCACACCTGGAGTACTGCGTCCAGTTTTGGGTCCCCCCACTACAGAAGGGATGTGGACAAATTGGAGAGAGTCCAGTGGAGGGCAATGAAAATGATTAGGGGACTGGGGCACATGACTTACAAGGAGAGGCTGAGGGAACTGGGGTTATTTAGTCTGCAGAAGAGAAGAGTGAGGGGAGATTTAATAGCAGCCTTCACTTACCTGAAGGGGGGTTCTAAAGAGGATGGAGCTAGGCCGGGGTGGGCAAACTTTTTGGCCCGAGGGCCACATCGGGGTGCGAAACTGTACAGAGGGCTGGATAGGGAAGACTGTGCCTCCTCAAACAGCCTGGCCCCTGCACCCTATCTGCCCCCGCCCACTTCCTCCCCCTCACTGCCCCCTTCAGAACCCGTGACCCATCCAACTCCCCCTGTTCCTTATCCCCTGACTGCCCCCCCCCCGGGACCCCATGCCCCAACTGCTGCCCCAAGACCCCACCCCCATCCAACCGCCCCTGCTCCCTGTCCCCTGACTGCCCCCCCAACCCCTATCCACACCCCCACCCCCTGACAGGCCCCCCTGGACCCCACCCCCATCCAATCCCCCGTTCCCCATCCCCTGACTGCCCCGTTCCCTATCCACACCCCTGCCCCCTGACAGGCCCCCTGGGATTCCCACGCCTATCCAACGGCCCCTGCTCCCTGTCCCCTGACCGCCCCCCCCCCACAGAACCTCTGCCCCATCCAACCACCCCCTCCACCGCCCCGCCCCCTTACCATGCTGCTGAGAGCACCAGGAGCTTGCAGCCCCGCCGCCTGGTCAGAGTCAGCTGCACTGCACGCACGGCGATGTGGCTGCATGGGAGGGGGGACAGCAGGAGAGGGGCCAGGGGCTAGCCTCCCTGGCCAGGAGCTTAAGGGCCAGGCAGGACGGTCCCGTGGGCCGGATGTGGCCCGCGGGCCATAGTTTGCCCACCTCTGAGCTAGGCTGTTCTCAGTGATGGCAGATGACAGAACAAGAAGGAATAGTCTCAAGTTGCAGTGGGGAAGGTCTAAGTTGGATATTAGGAAACACTATTTCACTAGGAGGGTGGCGAAGCACTGGAATGGGTTAGCTAGGGAGGTGGTGGAATCTCCATCCTTAGAGGTTTTTAAGGCCCGGCTTAACAAAGCCTTGGCTGGGATGATTTAGTTGGTTTTGGTCCTGCTTTGAGCAGGGGGTTGGACTAGATGACCTCCTGAGGTCCCTTCCAACCCTGATATTCTATGATTCTATGATTTTATGAAAATATGCTAATAAGGAAGGAGCCTAGTCTGTGAAAGAAGCTTATTGGAACATTTCTGAGGGTGAGATTTACCTGCATTTAGTTTCCTACTGTATTAGGCTTAGACTTGCACGTTTTTGTTTTATTTTGCTTGGTAATTTACTTTGTTCTGTCTGTTATTATTTGGAACCACTTAAATCCTACTTTTTATATTTAATAAAATCACTTTTTGCTTATTAATTAACCCAGAGCAAGTATTAATACCTGGGAGAGCAAACAGCTGTGCATCTCTCTCTATCAGGGTATGTCTACACTACGGAATAAGGTCGAATTTATAGAAGTCGGTTTTTTAGAAATCGGTTTTATATATTCGAGTGTGTGTGTCCCCACAGAAAATGCTCTAAGTGCATTAAGTGCATTAACTTGGCGGAGCGCTTCCACAGTACCGAGGCTAGAGTCGACTTCCGGAGCGTTGCACTGTGGGTAGCTATCCCACAGTTCCCGCAGTCTCCGCTGCCCATTGGAATTCTGGGTTGAGATCCCAATGCCTGATGGGGCTAAAACATTGTCGCGGGTGGTTCTGGGTACATATCGTCAGGCCCCCCTTCCCTCCCTCCCTCCGTGAAAGCAAGGGCAGACAATCATTTCGCGCCTTTTTTCCTGAGTTACCTGTGCAGACGCCATACCACTGCAAGCATGGAGCCCGTTCAGGTAACCGTCATCCTATGTCTCCTGGGTGCTGGCAGACGCGGTACGGCATTGCTACACAGTAGCAGCAACCCCTTGCCTTGTGGCAGCAGACGGTACAGTACGACTGATAGCCGTCATCGTCATGTCCGAGGTGCTCCTGGCCACGTCGGCTGGGAGCGCCTGGGCAGACATGGGCGCAGGGACTAAATTTGGAGTGACTTGACCAGGTCATTCTCTTTAGTCCTGCAGTCAGTCCTATTGAACCATCTTATGGTGAGCGGGCAGGCGATACGGACTGCTAGCAGTCGTACTGTACCATCTTCTGCCGAGCAGCCATGAGATGTGGATGGCATGCAGTCCTTCTGCACCGTCTGCTGCCAGCCAAAGATGTAAAAGATAGATGGAGTGGATCAAAACAAGAAACAGACCAGATTTGTTTTGTACTCATTTGCTTCCCCCCCTCCCCTGTCTAGGGGACTCATTCTTCTAGATCACACTGCAGTCACTCACAGAGAAGGTGCAGCGAGGTAAATCTAGCCATGTATCAATCAGAGGCCAGGCTAACCTTCTTGTTCCAATAAGGACAATAACTTAGGTGCACCATTTCTTATTGGAACCCTCCGTGAAGTCCTGCCTGAAATACTCCTTGATGTAAAGCCACCCCCTTTGTTGATTTTAGCTCCCTGAAGCCAACCCTGTAAGCCGTGTCCTCAGTCGCCCCTCCCGGCGTCAGAGCAACGGCAAACAATCGGGCATCTGAAAGTGCTGTCCAGAGCAGTCACAATGGAGCACTCTGATGGGGCTAAAACATTGTTGCGGGTGGTTCTGGGTTCGTATCATCAGGCCCCCGTTCCCTCCCTCCCTCCGTGAAAGCAAGGGCAGACAATCATTTCGCGCCTTTTTTCCTGAGTTACCTGTGCAGACGCCATACCACGGCAAGCATGGAGCCCGCTCAGGTAACCGTCACCCTATGTCTCCTGGGTGCTGGCAGACGCGGTACGGCTTTGCTGCACAGTAGCAGCAACCCATTGCCTTCTGGCAGCAGATGGTGCAATACGACTGGTAGTCGTCCTCGTCGTGTCCGAGGTGCTCCTGGCCACGTCGGCTGGGAGCGCCTGGGCAGACATGGGTGCAGGGACTAAATTTGGAGTGACTTGACCAGGTCATTCTCTTTAGTCCTGCAGTCAGTCCTATTGAACCGTCTTATGGTGAGCGGGCAGGCGATACGGACTGCTAGCAGTCGTACTGTACCATCTTCTGCCAGGCAGGCAAGAGATGAGGATGGCTAGCAGTCGTACTGTACCATCTTCTGCCGAGCAGCCATGAGATGTGGATGGCATGCAATCCTTCTGCACCGTCTGCTGCCAGCCAAAGATGTAAAAGATAGATGGAGTGGGTCAAAACAAGAAATAGACCAGATTTGTTTTGTACTCATTTGCCTCCTCCCCTGTCTAGGGGACTCATTCCTCTAGGTCACACTGCAGTCACTCACAGAGAAGGTGCAGCGAGGTAAATCTAGCCATGTATCAATCAGAGGCCAGGCTAACCTCCTTGTTCCAATAAGAACGATAACTTAGGTGCACCATTTCTTATTGGAACCCTCCGTGAAGTCCTGCCTGAAATACTCCTTGATGTACAGGCACCCCCTTTGTTGATTTTAGCTCCCTGAAGCCAACCCTGTAAGCCGTGTCGTCAGTCGCCCCTCCCTCCGTCAGAGCAACGGCAGACAATCGTTCCGCGCTTTTTTTCTGTGCGGACGCCCTACCAAGGCAAGCATGGAGGCCGCTCAGCTCACTTTGGCAATTAGGAGCACATTAAACACCACACGCATTATCCAGCAGTATATGCAGCACCAGAACCTGGCAAAGCGATACTGCGCGAGGAGGCGACGTCAGCTCGGTCACGTGAGTGATCAGGACATGGACACAGATTTCTCTGAAAGCATGGGCCCTGCCAATGCATGCATCATGGTGCTAATGGGGCAGGTTCATGCTGTGGAACGCCGATTCTGGGCTCGGAAACAAGCACAGACTGGTGGGACCGCATAGTGTTGCAGGTCTGGGACGATTCCCAGTGGCTGTGAAACTTTCGCATGCGTAGGGGCACTTTCATGGAACTTTGTGACTTGCTTTCCCCTGCCCTGAGGCGCATGAATACTAAGATGAGAGCAGCCCTCACAGTTGAGAAGCGAGTGGCGATAGCCCTGTGGAAGCTTGCAACGCCAGACAGCTACCGGTCAGTTGGGAATCAATTTGGAGTGGGCAAATCTACTGTGGGGGCTGCTGTGATGCAAGTAGCCCACGCAATCAAAGATATGCTGATATCAAGGGTAGTGACCCTGGGAAATGTGCAGGTCATAGTGGATGGCTTTGCTGCAATGGGATTCCCTAACTGTGGTGGGGCTATAGACGGAACCCATATCCCTATCTTGGCACCGGAGCACCAAGCCGCCGAGTACATAAACCGCAAGGGGTACTTTTCGATAGTGCTGCAAGCTCTGGTGGATCACAAGGGACGTTTCACCAACATCAACGTGGGATGGCCGGGAAAGGTGCATGATGCTCGCAGCTTCAGGAACTCTGGTCTGTTTCAAAAGCTGCAGGAAGGGACTTTATTCCCAGACCAGAAAATAACTGTTGGGGATGTTGAAATGCCTATATGTATCCTTGGGACCCAGCCTACTCCTTAATGCCATGGCTCATGAAGCCGTACACAGGCAGCCTGGACAGTAGTCAGGAGCTGTTCAACTACAGGCTGAGCAAGTGCAGAATGGTGGTAGAATGTGCATTTGGACGTTTAAAGGCGCGCTGGCGCAGTTTACTGACTCGCTTAGACCTCAGCGAAACCAATATTCCCACTGTTATTACTGCTTGCTGTGTGCTCCACAATATCTGTGAGAGTAAGGGGGAGACGTTTATGGCGGGGTGGGAGGTTGAGGCAAATCGCCTGGCTGCTGGTTACGCGCAGCCAGACACCAGGGCGGTTAGAAGAGCACAGGAGGGCACGGTACGCATCAGAGAAGCTTTGAAAACCAGTTTCATGACTGGCCAGGCTACGGTGTGAAAGTTCTGTTTGTTTCTCCTTGATGAAACCCCCCACCCCTTGGTTCACTCTACTTCCCTGTAAGCTAACCACCCGCCCCTCCTCCCTTCAATCACCGCTTGCAGAGGCAATAAAGTCATTGTTGCTTCACATTCATGCATTCTTTATTCATTCATCACACAAATAGGGGGATGACTACCAAGGTAGCCCAGGAGGGGTGGTGGAGGAGGGAAGGAAAATGCCACACAGCACTTTAAGCACAGCACTTTAAAAGTTTACAACTTTAAAATTTATTGAATGACAGCCTTCTTTTTTTTGGGCAATCCTCTGTGGTGGAGTGGCTGGTTGGCCGGAGGCCCCCCCACCGCGTTCTTGGGCGTCTGGGTGTGGAGGCTATGGAACTTGGGGAGGAGGGCGGTTGGTTACAGAGGGGCTGCAGTGGCAGTCTGTGCTCCAGCTGCCTTTGCTGCAGCTCAACCATACACTGGAGCATACTGGTTTGGTCCTGCAGCAGCCTCAGCATTGAATCCTGCCTCCTCTCATCACGCTGCCGCCACATTTGAGCTTCAGCCCTGTCTTCAGCCCGCCACTTACTCTCTTCAGCCCACCACCTCTCCTCCCGGTCATTTTGTGCTTTCCTGCACTCTGACATTATTTGCCTCCACGCATTCGTCTGTGCTCTGTCAGTGTGGGAGGACAGCATGAGCTCGGAGAACATTTCATCGCGAGTGCGTTTTTTTTTTCTTTCTAAGCTTCACTAGCCTCTGGGAAGGAGAAGATCCTGTGATCATTGAAACACATGCAGCTGGTGGAGAAAAAAAAAGGGACAGCGGTATTTAAAAAGACACATTTTATAAAACAGTGGCGACACTCTTTCAGGGTAAACCTTGCTGTTAACATTACATACATAGCACATGTGCTTTCGTTACAAGGTCGCATTTTGCCTCCTCCCACCGCGTGACTACCCCCTCAACCTTCCCCCCTCCCTGTGGCTAACAGCGGGGAACATTTCTGTTTAGCCACAGGCAAACAGCCCAGCAGAAATGGGCTCCTCTGAGTGTCCCCTGAAGAAAACCACTCTATTTCAACCAGGTGACCATGAATTAGATCTCACTCTCCTGAGGATAACACAGAGAGATAAAGAACGGATGTTGTTTGAATGCCAGCAAACATACACTGCAATGCTGTGTTCTACAATGTTTCCCGAGTACGTGTTACTGGCCTGGAGTGGTAAAGTGTCCTACCATGAAGGACGCAATAAGGCTGCCCTCCCCAGAAACCTTTTGCAAAGGCTTTAGGACTACATCTAGGAGAACCGCAAATGCCAGGGCAAAGTAATCCTTTCACATGCTTGCTTTTAAACCATGTATAGTATTTTAAAAGGTACACTCACCAGAGGTCCCTTCTCCGCCTGCTGGGTCCAGGAGGCAGCCTTGGGTGGGTTCGGGGGGTACTGGCTCCAGGTCTAGGGTGAGAAACAGTTCCTGGCTGTCGGGAAAACCGGTTTCTCCGCTTGCTTGCTGTGAGCTATCTACAACCTCCTCCTCATCATCATCTTCTTCGTCCCCAAAACCTGCTTCCATATTGCCTCCATCTCCATTGAAGGAGTCAAACAACACGGCTGGGGTAGTGGTGGCTGAACCCCCTAAAATGGCATGCAGCTCATCATAGAAGCGGCATGTTTGGGGCTCTGACCCAGAGCGGCTGTTTGCCTCTCTGGTTTTCTGGTAGGCTTGCCTCAGCTCCTTCAGTTTCACGCGGCACTGCTTCGGGTCCCTGTTATGGCCTCTGTCCTTCATGCCCTGGGAGATTTTCACAAAGGTTTTGGCATTTCGAAAACTGGAACGGAGTTCTGATAGCACGGATTCCTCTCCCCAAACAGCGATCAGATCCCGTACCTCCCGTTCGGTCCATGCTGGAGCTCTTTTGCGATTCTGGGACTCCATCATGGTCACCTGTGCTCATGAGCTCTGCATGGTCACCTGCAGCTTGCCACGCTGGCCAAACAGGAAATGAGATTCAAAAGTTCGCGGTTCTTTTCCTGTCTACCTGGCCAGTGCATCTGAGTTGAGAGTGCTGTCCAGAGCGGTCATAATGGAGCACTCTGGGATAGCTCCCGGAGGCCAATACCATCGAATTGTGTCCACAGTACCCCAAATTCGAGCCAGCAACGTCGATTTAAGCGCTAATCCACTTGTCAGGGGTGGAGTAAGGAAATCGATTTTAAGAGCCCTTTAAGTTGAAATAAAGGGCTTCATTGTGTGGACGGGTGCAGGTTTACATCGATTTAACGCTGTTAAATTCGACCTAAAGTCCTAGTGTAGACCAGGGCTCAGTGTTCTAGAGGGCGAACAATTTATAAGTTTACCCTGTATGAGCTTTATACAGAGTAAAATGGATTTATTTGGGGTTTGGACCACATTGGATACTGGGTATCTGGGTGCTGGAGACTGGAGCATTTCTTAAGCTGTTTTCAGTTAAGCCTGCAGCTTGTGGGGGACATGGTTCAGACCTGGGTCTGTGTTTGCAGCAGGCTAGTGTGTCTGGCTCAACAAGACAGGGCACTAAAGTCCCAAGCTGCCAGGGAAAAGAGGCTCAGAGGTAGTCTCAGCACATCAGGTGGCAGTCCCAAGGGGGTCTCTGTGACCCAACCCGTCACAGTCCCGTCCCCTGGTTAAGGGCTGATGGGTGCTAAAGGGCTTTGGGATCAAAGCCTCGTTAAGAAGCTTTCAGCCTTGCCTAGCAGGCTGCTAGGCTCAGCACACACATGGTCAGCACACGGTCCCTCTAACAGACCACACAGTATATTTCAGTTAAGCAGCAAGCACACCACAAACACACACACTACAGACAACAAACTTACTCCAAAGGTCATGTTATCGCTCCTCCTTCACCTGGAGAACTCCCTCACGACACTCCCCTGTTAGCTGCTCCTGCTCGCTAGCTGAATAAGGAAGTATAATTTACTCCTTAACATAACATAAGAACCAGGGGTCACCCAATGAAATTAATAGGCAACAGGTTTAAAACAAAAAAAAGGAAGTACTTCTTCACACAATGGAGAGTTAACCTGTGGAACTCATTGCCAAGGGATGTTGTGAAGGCCAAAACTATAATGGGGTTAAAAAAATAATTAGTTAAGTTCATGTAGGATAGGTCCATCAATGGCTATTGGCCAAAATGGTCAGGGATGCCGCCCCATGCTCAGGGTGTCCTTGGCCTCTGACTGCCAGAAGCTGGGAGTGGACGATAGGGGATGGATCACTCAATGATTGCCTGTTCTGTTCATTTGCTCTGGGGCACCTGGCATTGGCCACTGTTGAAAGACAGGATACTGGGCTAGATAGACCATTGTTCTGACCCAATATGGCCATTCTTATGTTCTTACATTTGCAAGTGGGTTTCACAGATGTTTGTTGACAGCTGACAAATGGTGAGGGATCTTGGGTTCCATTCCAGGCTCTGGAAGGGAGTGTTCTCTAGTGGGCACAGACTCTTCTGCCCATTTCCCCACAAGCTTCACCCTATTCTTCCCCCTCTTCTCCAAACTGTCCCAGCCTCTCCTATAACTGTAATCATGACTGGCCTAGACAAGATAAATCAGAAACTTCTGTTCTCCCTGTCACCTAACACAAGAACAATGAGACATTCAATGACATTGAAAGGTGGCAAATTAAAAAACAATACAAGGAAATATTTTTTCACACAACATGTGATTAGACCATGAAATTTATTGACAGAGGTAGTTGTTGAAGCCAAGCACTTAGCAAGATTCAAAGAGGGACTGGACATTTATATGGATAACAAAAATATCCAGTTATAACAGCAAAGCCTACAAAAAATTGGAAGGAACATAACACTTCCCTGTTTCAGGTCTTAAAACATCCCTGGGTGCAGATTATCTGATATTTGCTTCCTGCAGTGTTTCTTACCCCTGCCTCTGAAGTGTCTGTTTCTGGCCACTGTCAGAGGCAAGGATGGCAGACTAGATGGCCCACTGAGCTGATCCAGTCTGGCAAGCTCTGTGACCCTGTAAACACATTTTCAATTCATAATCAAACACTTAGGGCCACAATTTAGAACCCAAGGCCACAGATTGTGGAAGGGCCACTGTGCTGATAGTGCTGTAGGTGAGCCATAGGGCTCACTCTGATCTCTAAGCAATAATGATCTCAATGCCCCAGTGAAATTCTAGGGGCCACTGTGCTGCAGGGAGTGGTGTGGGTTACTCAGTAGGGGACATGATGCTGCTGGAGGTTAAGTCTTTCACAAAACATTTTTCTTGAGTCCTTGTAGGTGTCAAAGATCCCCTATCCCGTTGCCCAAGTCAGGGTGTTAACCCTCATACTCAAATCCCAATTCAGATTATTTTAGTCTCCATCATAGAATCATAGAAGATTAGGGTTGGAAGAGACCTCAGGAGGTCATCTAGTCCAACCCCCTGTTCAAAGTAGGACCAACCCCAACTAAATCATCCCAGCCAGGGCTTTGTCAAGCCGGGCCTTAAAAACCTCTAAGGATGGCGATTCCACCACCTCCTTAGGTAACCCATTCCGGTGCTTTACCACTATCCTAATATCCAACCTAGACCTCCCCCACTGCAACTTGAGACCATTTCTCCCTGTTCTGTCATCTGCCACCACTGAGAACAGCTAAGCTCCATCTTCTTCAGAACCCCCCTTAAGGTAGTTGAAGGCTGCTATCAAATCCCCACTCACTCTTCTCTTCTGCAGACTAAACAAGCCCAGTTCCCTCAGCCTCTCCTCACAAGTCATGTGCCCCAGCCCTGAGGGACTCATCATCCCTAAATTTTTTCCTGCACTTTCTATTGGAAACAGTATTCCACTGAACCTTCTATCCTAAGTTATTGCACAGCACTGTTGTTGGATTGTTAAACAGTTGTTGTGCCCCACCCCAGAGAAGGGTGCACTTTAGAGGAGTGCACTTGGGGTGATGAGTATGTGGAAAGTGAAACGGATTTTAATACTATAACATTATTCTGATTCCCTCCTCCTTTTCTCCAACTTTCTTTCCTTCCCTCACGCCAATCTCTCCTCTCCCTTCCTGATGCTCAGGCCCAAAACTTCATTACCCACCTTGAAGGCCTGGAGGAACTGGTACAGCTTACAACCCTGCATCTGCGTGACAACAAGCTTGAGACCCTGGATGGCTTCTCTCAGAGCATGAAATGCCTGCAGTACCTCAATCTGCGGTGGGTCCTCCCCTGATCAACTTTGGCCCTGGAGACCCCTCTGGAGTGCTGGGAACCCCCTGTGGGCAATGGGACTGCTCTCCCCAAAGCATGTCAAGTTAGCTGCTTTGGAGACACCAGTCTTCACCAGCAGGTGGGGCTGGGTTGGTCTTCCCAGCCCACTGTTCTCTAAGGGCCAGGCCCAAGCCACCTTGATGGGCCCCAGCGCTCTGATTCCTCAACCACTTTGGGATACCACTTTTTGCCTCTGTGTTCCTTCAGAGAGATTGGCCCCTCCACATCCATCTCAGATCTCCCCTGCTGCACCTTGTACCCTTTGCTAAAATCCTCTTTGGTCTCTTTGCCCTCCCTCCTGTTGGTGACTGCAAATACCCTTTTCTCCTAGGTATTTGCAGTACAGGGGAGGTGATGACACTGGCTGATCCACAGGGCTGTCCATACACAGAGGAGGCACCTAAGGAAACCCAGAGAGGGGAAGGTCTTTCTTTTTGTCTCTCTCAGCTTGGGGAGCCCCAGGTGCTCAGGGCTTTTTGCTGATGAGTCCCTTTCAGTGGGTCATGTCTGTTCAGTCACTTTATTGTTATTTTCACTGGGGGATCTCAATAAATAGAGTTATTCTCTCTCCCTGTTTTTCTCCCCCACCCCTCTGCAGCGGGAATGGGATTTTGAACCTTCAGGAGATGGCAAAGCTGCAGGTTCTGCCCATGCTGCGGGCACTGGTGCTGATGGACAATCCCTGTTCTGATGAAGGTGAATACCGGATGGAGGCTCTGGTGCTGCTTCCCCGTCTTGAGCGTCTCGACAAGGATTTCTTTGAGGAAGATGAGCGGGCAGAGGCCGAGGAGACACGGCAGCGACGCCGAGATGAGGAACAGGTTAGAGCAGAGGAAGTGAGGGTAAGGAGGTGTGAAGAGCCTCAGAAGGGAGAAAGACTAGCAATTTTCAGTCTGAGTGTCTTTTCTTTAGATTAAGGGGGAAAAGAAAGCTTAAAGTAGAATCCCAGGAGAGAGTACAGTGTGTGAAACACCCTCTGAAACATGCTGCCTCACATCGGCCATAAAAAAATGGCCAGAGGCATGTGACCCTTTCGGTAATAAAAGGGTCAGCATTGAGAAACCAATCAGAACAATTATAGAGCCACCTACCCCACAAGGGAGGAAGAAAGAAACATCTGGAACCATCCTTGTTAACCTCTCACTTTTCTTCTTTTCCCTCAGGAAATGGAGGAATCTGCCCAAGGAGAAGTAACTGAGTGACCCTCCAGCTGCCCGTAGAGTCCCTCAGAACTCTGTGGGGGCCACAGCAGGAGTAGGTTGGCCAGGGAGCAGGACCAGTGTTCTACGTCTCCATGTATTTGGCCCTTAGAGACCTTTCCTTTGCCCACATTCCATGTCTCTCCTGGGAGAGGTTGGTGTCAGCCACCCCCCTATGCTGTCCAAAGGAATGTAGCTCTACTGGAGTCAGTGCAGCACAGGCTCTGCTCCTCACAGGCCCAAGGAGAAGGAGGGACAGTTAAGGTTTGTGCAGTTTGAATTGTGGAGCCTGAAGCTCCTGTAATATTTTCTGCTTTGAATAAAAAGAATTAATGAATCTGGAGTGAGCGAAGCTGTGAATTATCCTGGGCCCCTCTCCGCTCCGCTCCTCTCCTTCTGTGTCTCTGGCTCACTCTCTCCATCCCCTACGTGCTGTTTGCAAAGCTTCTTCTAAATCCTGACTCATTGCAGCTCTGGGTCACATGCTGCTGTCTCGGCCCTATCAGGGGCGTCTCCATCCTGCTGCTGCTGCCGCTGTTGGCTTAGAGGACACATCATCTCCCCTTGAGGTCCTGCTCCTGCATCTTTCCTCAGCTCCATCCTCCTCCTCCTCCTTCCAGCAGCACTTTCTCTTGCTCACACCTGCCTTAGAAAGGTAAGTGCCCCCCTCACATCCAACATCACCCTTGTGCATCTCTACACTCCCCATCCTGGGGGGCCCCCAGCACCCCCCAGCATTTGGGTCCTTGGAGAAAGGGACCAGGCAGAGAGGCAAATAAACTAGCTAAACTCCCCTCACTTCCTCCTCCTGCTCTCCCCTCCCCCTGCATTCTCCCTCCTCTGCGTCTCTCCTTTCCTTCTTATTTTAATGTCATGCAATCCCCCCTGTCTTGCCCTTATCTGTGCTACATCACAAAGCTGCAGGACAACACAGCTGTGCCTCTCCATGGGGTATTTATCTGGGGAGGGCTCCACCACCAGAGGTAGGTTCTGTTCCCAAGGGCACCCAAGGGAGATGCTGTGGCTTAGAGGCTTACTTGGGGGCAGCTGATTTCTGATGTCTCTGAAAGAGCTTGATGCTAGGAGGGGGACTAATCTGAGGTGTTGGTGAGCATCATTCATGGAGGAGGGACCAGTTTTGCTGAACTCTGGGATCAGGCTAGTTTCCTAATCTAGCAGGGCGTTGGCAGCATCACAGAGCTGCCTCCCAGGGGGAGGGAGGAGAATTGCCTTGTTCGACATCATGTAGTTCACAGCCCCACACCCCGCTGGGGGGCAATGATGGGAAGAGATGGCAGCCAAGCAAGTACTAACTGCAGCAGCCACAGCACTGCAGCAGTGTGAGCTTCCTAGGGGCAGTGCTGAGCCTGGGGGAATTGCAGCAGTGCCAGCTGCCTTACAGCAGTGCCCTAGCAGTGCTTTGTTGTGGAGGTCTGCAGCAGGTTGAGGACTGGGGAGGATGGGGGGATGCAGTCAGTTTACCTTCTACAACACCATGCCCTGGCAGTGTGAACTTCCCTGAAGCAGTGCCAACCTGGGGGAACTACAGCAGTGCAAACCTCCTGCCAACTTTGCCCATTCCATCGGCCACCAGTTCCTATCCCAGCACTGTGTGATGGCTCCTTGTGGAAGCTATTCAGCCTGCCTCTCCCAAGGGCCGGTGCACCCTTCAGCCTGATGGCTGCCCCCTTCTTCTTCAGCTGCGTATGAGTTCCAGGCTGTGGCTCTGTTCCAATCTGTTATCCCAGCTTATCCGTCCCTGACCTCCTTTCAGGACAGCACTGCTGCAGCCAGTGAGTTCCAGTGCGGCTCTTCCTCCATCTGGGGCCTTGGAGGTGGAGAACTGGACAGTGAGAGACAGAGAGAAGCAAGGAAGGAAGGGTACAGAGGGGAGAGGAAAGAGGAACAGAGAGAGTGATGAGGCCATGGGGATGCAGCATGGCTGAGGTCTAGTTCCTTTCCTGTCCTTGAGCCAGCTGCTCTGTGGCCTTTGGCAGGATTGTCTAGAAGAGGAAAATGGACAGTCTGGAATGAAGCTGGCAATGTTGCTGCTGAGGGGTTGGGAAATGCTTAGTCCAGTTCATGTGTCATCATCAGGGCTCCACTGTGGGGAAACTCACACTTGTGCGGTCTGTCCCTCCTTGCCCCCTCCCTCCTTTATGCTGCCTGCTAGGCTACTGCCAAGGCACTGCCATGAGGGAAACCCACACACGCAGGGCACTACCATGGGGGAAGCGCCTGTGGGGTCTGACAGACTGCGTGAAAAATCCTGCTTGCAGAGCAGCTGCTAGGGCAGCTGATGGGGATGCCAGCCCAGACGGTGGCTGTGAAGGGAGTTGTAAGGGGGAGAACAGCCCTGCATGGCTCTAGAGACTCTCAGCTTCACTGGCTGAGATTTCCCAGCATTGGAGAAGTTTTCTGTAATAACATTGTGATTTCCAGACACCAGGAAAATGGGCTTGAAACCAGCTCCTGCCCCCAGTACGGGCTGCGCCTGGGCTCCCCTCTGCTCCTTCTACCACAGGCACTGCACACAGACCCTGGTGAGGTGTAAATCTCTGCCCACCCCTACCCCACTGTGCCTTGTACTGGGCATTTGTCCCCTGCGCGAAGGCTTTGCAGTGCTCACCAACTGAGAATTGAGTTTTCCCTGGTCTCAGCTTCAGATTGGGTTTAATATCCCCACTCAGAACTGGTTACCGATGGGGGAGGGGGACTGAACCTATGTGAACAAGAGAGGAGAGGAGGGGTGATGAAGGAAAGAGGGAGGAGAGAGGAAGCAATAAGAAGGGGCAGAGAAGGGAAGCAATAGGAGCTGGGGGGATTCAAGGGGCTATGGCTTGTGGGGGGGTGGGGGGGAATGGTGCATTGAATTCCCCTATCCCCTGCCGTAGGGTACCACCCCCTAGAGTTATTGCTAGGCACCTTCTCTGGCAGCCAATAGATGGGTGGCAGTTGGGTGAGAAGACACATGGGCCTCAGATTGTTGGGAAGGGGAGCTGGGAAGGGGGAAGGGCTTCTCTGAACACCCAAAGAGCATGATACAGCAGGCGAGTGGCCTTTAAAGCTGCTCTGCTCTGGAACTTGGTTAGCTATGACTGAATCTTCAAACCACCTCATCTCCCAACCCTCGCAATACAAGAGACCTCCACCCTCCCCCTCCCACCACACTCATTAGCATGACTTATATATAGAACTAAAGATTTAAAAGCTGGGACCAGCCCCATACCCCTCTTCCCTCCCCCCGGGCTGCAAGACAAGAGCGTTCCCCTTAGTCCATTCCTGGGGCTCCTTAGCACCCACATGCCCTAATGCTGGGGGTCCAGGCCCTGAGACGGCTCCCTGGGCTCACAGACCCCTCCATGCTAGGGCCCTGATTCCTGTGTTCCTTTGCCTTGTCTCAGTCTCACCCTTTCCTCCCCCCCAAAGCAAAGGTGTGCAACCTGTGGACCTTGAGGCTTTGAAATGTGATCCTCAAGGGTGACCGTGGGATAGAACAGCGTATTGGAATTGTAATGGCAAAGGTGCTCCCTGAGCTGTGCCCTGCGATTTAAAACTGCAGTGTTTGGATCAGCCCCACCACTAGAAACCAGGATCCAGAAGGAAGAGAGAGCTGCCTCCCACTGCTTCACCTGCAGCCCCATTAACAATTCTACTCTGAGCTGGGAGCACACAGCAGCCGTTAGGCTTTCCCTGGCTGCTTGCCTTCTGCCTTGCAGTGGATGGAGAAGGGGAGTTCTGGTTGCTCCATTGCCTACCAGGCTGTGCGAGCCCTGGGGACAGCAGGACAGTGATAGGTGGCTCCCTCCCCCACAGCCAGCCTAGGCAGCCCAGGAGTGGGGAAGAGGAGAAGCTGAGAACTACTGACCAATTACAGTGACTTGATTCTCTGTCCCAGTCTTGGTTAGAGCAGCCTGGGGGCGGGCTAGCTGGCTCCCAAGAGACTATATACCAGCTGGAGATAACTCCAGCATGCTCCAGCCATGCCCCTCCCCCGCATCCTGGCATGCCTCCCCTGGTGCCAGGGCCTCTGTGGAGGAAGATGTAGGCAGGGGTGGAAGTAAGTCGAGTGATTTACCCGTATGCTGGAGCCAGCTCTAGACCCCGGAAGGGGGCGGGGCCTAGGGCGGAAGGGGCGGGGCCGAGGGGGTCAGAGCCAGCCCAAGCCCACCCTGTAAGGTAAGTGCCTCCCCTTCTCCTCCCCTCCCCCACAAGGGTAGCAGCAGCAGCAGCCTGGGGCTCTGGGGGCTATTTAAAGGGCCCGCAGCTCCTCTGCTTCTACCGCCCCAGTCCTTTAAATAGCCCCCCAAGCCTAGGAGTAGCGGCGGCGGGGCTCTGGTGGCTATTTAAAGGGCTGGGGTGGTAGAAGCAGAGGAGCCCTGGGCCCTTTAAATAGCCGCTGGAGCCCCACAGCCACTACCCCAGGGCTCCAGCAGCGGGGCTCTGGAGGCAAAATAAAGGGCCTGGGGCTCCAGCCAGTGCTGGGAGCCTTAGGCCCTTTAAATTGCCCTCTGGGGAAGCTGGACTGCCCCAGTATGGTGCACCGGCTCTTGCCAGTATGCCGTACTGGGGCATACTGGCTTACTTTCGCCTCTGGATGTAGGCACCAGCTATGCCAACTCTACACCTGCTGGGGCAGGGCAGCTCCCTTGTGCTGCCTGAGCATGAAAGGAGCAGAACATGGCAGAGATTGGTTGTGGCCCCCTGACCATTTTGCAATGTGTTTAGACTTCAGGCTGAAAAGGTTGGACAGTCTTGCCCTAAACAACCCCCTCCCCTGAGGAATCACACCTTCGGGCATTTGCCAGCAGTTCACATGTCCTTCCCTTAGCCATGGCTTCCCGGAGCCAGGTGGGTTTAGCCCACCTGTCCCCAGAACCCAACCCCTGGGCCCCAGAAGCGTTTCTCTGGCTTGTCTCCAATGTTGCATCTACACTTGGAGCAGATTCCCAGCTCGGGTAGATACACACGTGCCAGCTCTGCTCGAGCTAATGTGCTAAAAATAGCAGTGTGGCCATGGTAGCGTGAGCAGTCGCGAGTGATGGCCTGGACTCGCCAGGCCAAGAACAAACCTGCAAACTTAGGTCGGCTAGTCTGTGCTGCTCGCCACTGCCCTTGCTACACCACTATTTTTAGTGCACAAGCCTGAGCATGTCTCTGTGAACTGGGAATCGCACCTGGAGCTCCAGGGGAACTCAGACATAGCCTGAGTTCCCTCCTGCCTGTCACTGTCTTTCTGGGAATGAAGGGCCCAGAGCTGAGCTCTGAATCCCAGATAGGATGTGAGGCCTCTGCGATGGAGAAACCCAGAATTAAGCCTCTTTCCTTGCTTCTCCTCCCCCCACTGCCCATCTCAAACTCTTTTGCAGGAAAGACCAGGATCACCATGTCCATTGAAAAGATCCATGCTCGGGAGATCCTGGATTCCCGTGGGAATCCCACCGTTGAGGTGGATTTGTACACCGAAAAAGGTATGTGTGACAAGGTGGGAGGAGACTGTGCATTTCTGCACTGTCCAGCACTGGGAGACAGTGGAATTAGTTCAGTCCTGTGGCAGCCAGGTAGGAAATAGCAACCACAATCTGGATAAGCTTTGTTTCTTCAGCAGCCAGGCACCTTCTTGCAACACCCGGGACCTTGACCACTTAATTCCTGCTGATGAATTTACAACTAAGAGAAGTTGGGTCCCAAACTTGTAACCTTATCAAATGAGTGAATGCGTGGATGAGTTTGTGCTGATGAGTGTGTAGTGAGTGCACATGTGTGTCTGTCACTGCGCTCCCAGAGAGGAGAAGGCACCTCCCATAAATTCATGTCCTCTGAGAGATCTTCTGTTAGCTGAGGCAGGAGATGCCTGTGGTTTTGGAGCTGAAGGATCAGAATTTGTGGCTGGATCTCAAGGTAGGGGTGTGTGTGTGATTTCTCTAGTGAATGTGTGCATGCTCTGCAGCATGAATATTCATTAGCCTCCAGCAAGTTTACAGTCCAAAGAGTGTTGAGCTAGTACGTGAGCACCAGAGTGAGATACTCACTGGAAACTGAAATAAAACTGCTGATTTCTGTTTGTACGTGATGGGTTGTGCATCTGTGTATACAGTAACAGCTACCTGTCTGTGAGTATGCACGCATGTGTGCCTCCATGTCTGTACAATGTCACAGAGTTGTGTTTCTCTGTCTAGTAGGTATTTATAGAGTCTAGCTGTATCTTCAGGCATGTGCATGGTCATGGGCCTTGCATGTTTATAGACTTATAATGTAGATTTATATGCATGCATGTGCAAGTACTCCTGTGTGTTCATATCTGTGCACATATCCATGTGTATGTATGTTTGTGTCAGGTTTCTGTCCGCTTCTAGAGCTGAATGTTTCATTCACTTCTTTATTCAATGAAATATCAAAAAAGGAGATATTACCCATCAACTACCCTTCAAACTCAGACTCCCCTAGAAGGGGTGGAGACTAAGGTGTTTGAGTATGAGACTGAGGAACAGGCCTCCTGGGTTCTAGCTCTAGTTCTGAGATGGAGTAGGATATAGTGGGTGTACCCCAGGGAGGAGCTGGGAGTCAGGACACCTGAATTCTCTATGTGGCTCTGCAACTGTCTCACTGTGTGACCTTGGGAGAGTCCTTTCCCCTCCTTGTGACACAGCTTCCCCACCTATATTGTGGGGTAATGCCACTACCCAAACAGCCCATGGGCTGTAAGTTACATTGAGAAGGATAGGCAAACAAGAAGTGAGCAGGAGCTTAGAAGCTTCCCTTTTTCTTTCTTCTTTCCTCTTTTTTCACACCTGTGTTTTGCTTTCTCTCAGGCATGTTCCGTGCTGCAGTTCCCAGTGGCGCTTCCACTGGCATCTACGAAGCTCTGGAGCTGCGAGACAATGACAAGTTCCGATTCCTTGGAAAAGGTGGGGACAGTTCAGCTCCTGCTCACCCTCGCTGAACAGTCTCAGGCAACTGTGTAGCCCCAGTGCTCTGTACGTGCATGTGTGTCCTCTGAGGGCCTGATTCTGCACTCAGCACTCCCTGTTTTGTGCTGGTATAATTCCACTGACCTCACTGGAGTCACACGAATATAAAGTTGGTGTGACTGAGTGGAGAATTAGGCCTTGAATCTCTGTCTGTCTCTGTCTCTTTCTTTGTCTCACTCGCTGTCTCTGTCTCTTCCCTTCTCTAGGGGTCCTACAGGCCGTGGATCATATCAACAGCACTATCGCCCCATCTCTCCTCGGCTCTGTAAGGATTTCCCTTTAATCTCCTTTCTGGGAGGTTTATTTTATTCTCTTGCTTTCTAATCTCTTTCTGCCTCTGTCTCTCTCTTCATTTCACCAACTGGGTTGGCACATTGCTGTTCCCTCTGACTCCAGGCACATACCCTCACAGGCCCTTGTGTGCGTGTGCGTGGGTGTGGGTGTGCAAGCGACAGGTCTCTGCTCCACTGGGTGGATGGGGTTTTATTCCATACGGCCCTCCCCCATACCCCAGTTACCATCTGATCTGGCACCTCTCCAGCTGCCCCTCATTGTAAGACTCTCTCCCTCTTTCGCACATGCACCTCTTGGAGCACTGCTCATTCCTCATCCAAATCCTCCATTCCTATTCCCATTCGTCTCATCCTCCCCCGGCCAGCCTGGCATTCACAATGCTTTGGCCTGTGGATTTTGTTTGTGCAGAAGCTGGAATTTCCCATGACGTGTTCCATGGCCTCATCAGGTAGTGACAGTACCTTATGGCCGTAGGGCAGCCACTGTCTGGGTTTACTCAGGATCATCCCTTTTTTGAGGTAGCTAGCCTGGGAAATCTGTAAGGAGGCTCAATACACACTGCCAACTGGCCAGTTTTATGGGCTCAGAATCTCCCCGGATATCCCTTTTTTTTGTACCTTAGAGGTGGCAAATCTAATGGCCCAGCCACAGAGCCAGTTCGTCACAACCAGAGCAGAGGTGTGATTGTGATGTATACTGAATCTGTGTGCTACAGAAGTGCTATACAGTTACACACACAGCCCTCCCTGAGCTGAGCTTTTTTCCACACCTTCCCTTCTTAGCAGATGTGTCTTCTTGCAGGGCTTCTCTGTGGTGGATCAAGAGAAGATAGACAACCTCATGCAAGAGATGGACGGGACAGAAAATAAATGTAATTCCATTCTCCTTTGGCATGGGAAATAGAAATGTTGAGGAGCGTGGGGTGATACTCTAGGGCAGGACTGAGGGACACTGGCAGAGCTGTGTGGGGAGCCCAGCCCTGGAATACCAGGGGGCTGCAGAGTCCCAGGGGACTGGGGGAGGTTTAGGTTGGATATTAGGAAAAAATTTTTCACTAGGAGGGTGGTGAAGCACTGGAATGCGTTACCTAGGAAGGTGGTGGAATCTCCTTCCTTTGAGGTTTTTAAGGTCAGGCTTGACAAAGCCCTGGCTGGGATGATTTAGTTGGGGATTGGTTCTGCTTTGAGCAGGGGGTTGGACTAGATGACCTCCTGAGGTCCCTTCCAACCCTGATATTCTATGATTCTATGAGACTGGCAGGGCAGTGCGGGAAGCCGAGGGCTGGAATAGCAGGGGGCTGTAAGACAGGACTGAGGGGCATTGGCAGAGCTGGGTGGGGAGCCCAGCACTGGAATAGCAGGGGGCTGCATGACAGGCCTGAGGATGTTTGGAGAATTCATTCCTCCCTGATTTTGGAATGTCCACAGCTAAATTTGGAGCCAATGCCATCCTGGGGGTCTCTCTGGCTGTGTGCAAGGCAGGTGCTGCAGAGAAGGATGTGCCCCTATATCGACATATCGCTGACCTGGCTGGGAACGCTGACCTCATCCTGCCAGTGCCTGTAAGAACCTTCCATCCCTAGCTTCAAAGTCCACTTACAAACAGACTTAGAGAACTTGACTGAGGAGGCGGGAGGGGAGGCCAGGACTGTGGGAACATGGGGACTTCAAGCATCCACTCAGCAGAGGGCCCCTCTGGTACCGGGCTGGGATATTGCCAGTTTCACCCCCTGCTTCTTTCTGGACTTTTCCAGGCCTTCAATGTGATCAATGGAGGCTCCCACGCAGGGAACAAGCTGGCCATGCAGGAGTTCATGATCCTGCCTGTGGGGGCT